CTATCACATTTAAAAGAAATGAAAGAAAAAATAAGACGAAAAAGAAATAAAAGAAATCCATATTATAAATTTTTAACATATTTGATCTTATTTTTTTATCTGTTTATTTTTGTCTTTTGCTTATTTTCTATTTTTTTATTTAAACTATTTTATTTTTGTTTTACTTTTAATACGGTAAGTTTCCAACATATTTTATCTTATTTTGCTTCTTCTTCTTTTTGTCTCATTCTATTTTCTTCTTCTTCTTTTTGGTTTATACAAATTCAATTTTTTTCTTTCTTTTTTTATTCTGAAGTATAAGTGTTGTAGTTTCCAAAATAATTGATTTTTTTTTTTGGTCTTCAATCTATTTTCTTTTTCTAAAAAGAGTAAAATAGATAGATTAGCTTAATTTCTAACAGTGTTAAAGATGAGTTTGGAAAAGAAAAATCATTGAGAGTAAGTGATTCAGAAAAATAAAATAAATAGAGATATAAGCGGTTTAAAATAAAATCATAGGGGGATTTTTAAACTTTTCCTTAATATCTTTTAGCCTAACAAATGCACAATGTCAAGTTATGAATATAAATTGTTATTATTTAATGTTTTTATGAATAATAATTTTTAGAGCATGATTATATTTACAATTATTTTTCTTATAATTTCTTATAAGTGTTTTTTATAACTGTTGGATCAAAATTCAATTAATGACTTTCACTTAATGTTATTTTGTGACCGTTAATTTGATTTTAATTAAACGATATACAAACTAATAGTAAGAGATTTTGTATATATAAGACATCATTTTATTATCTTGTTAGACATTAAAATTTTATTTAACTTACTTTTTTTTATAATTTTATATTAGTTTGTTAATTAATATATTATATAATATTTCGAAATATATATTTAATTTGACCAGAAGGACCACAGAAAAAAAATTAATTATTGCATTTTAATTAAATAATTACGCATTTATTGCAGTTTTGAAAATAATTACGGATCTATTGCACAATGTGATGCCTTTTTTGGGCGTCACATGTGACGCCTTATTTAGGCGTCTCTCACTTGAGGGAAGACGCCCCAATGGAGCGTCTCTCACCTAAGGTTGGCACGTGTCATTTTTTTTTCTAAAAAAAATAATAATTTAATCATAAAACTTCTGAAGGCCGTAACTTTTGACTGGGGTATCAATTCAGGTAATTATTTTTTTGATTCCACATAACTTTTCGAGATCTACGTAATGACATCTCATTGATATATTTTATTTCTCAGAAACACAATTTTAATTTGCAAGAATGGTATTATAAGAGCGGTTAAACCAAGAAGCCTCTGAGTTCTGGGTTTGTGATTTAATATACAGAAATAAATAAAATTTTGATTTGTGATTTAGTTTTTTTTATAATACTTTTTTATTATAACAAAAATTTGGTTTGTGATTTAAATTTAAAATAAAAATAAAAATAATTATTATTAAGGAAAACAAAATAAAGATTTGATTTGTGATTTAAACTAAAAAATTAATTTGAAAAATCTGTAGAAATAAAGAAAATAATTAAATAAATATTCTAAATCTCTAAGGAAGAAAGATATTATTTTTGAAATTAATGATTAATGCTATAAGTTTCTGAGTTATTATTCGTGGTCTGAAATTAATGATGGGTTATGAATGTTTTTCAAAAATAAAATTACCTACATTAGGCGTGATTGTCTCTTGATTGAAACTCAATTTAGACGCGATTGGGGACGTGTCAGGTGTTAACACGTGTCACATTTTTAAACTTAGAAGCCTCCGAGTTCAGCGTTTGTGATTTAATATAAAAAATAAATCAAGATTTGATGTGCGATTTAATTTAAAAAATAATTTTTTTTTTATTATAAAAAAATTTGATTTGTGATTTAAATTAATAGTAACAATTATTATCAATAAGGAAAACAAAATAAAGATTTGATTTGTGATTTAAACTCAAAAATCAATTTGAAAAATCTGTATTAATTAAGGAAATAATTAAATAAATATTCTAAATCTCTAAGGAAGAAGGATTACCTAATTTAAATTTAAATTATATAAAATATATCAAATAAGATTTCATTGCGTAGATCTCGAAAAGTTATTGCGTAGATCTCGAAAAGTTATGTGGAATCAAAAAAAGAATTAACTGAATTGGATACCTGAGTCAAAAGTTATGGCATTTTTATGATTAAATTATTATTATTTTTTTTTTTAAAAAATGACACGTGTCAACCTTAGGTGAGAGACGCTCTATTGGGACGTCTTTCCTTAAGTGAGAGACGCCTAAATGAGGCGTCACATGTGACACCCAAAAAAAGCGTATTGTGTAATAAATCCGTAATTATTTTTAAAATTGCAATAAATATATAATTTTTTAATTAAAATACAATAATGAAATTTTTTTGCCGAACGACCACAATTGAATCAGTAAACCATCAACTAGTGTTTTCATTGGTGAATGACTGACCGGTCTTTAAAACATCGATCTAACGTGATTGGATGGATCTATTTACCCCCCCAAAAAAAAAAAGTATCCGAAGTTAAAATTATAAAAATAAAATTGAAATCAATATTAAACCGTTGGTCATGAAGTGATATAGGAATCTAATTAAAAACAATTATAGATTATACGTTTTTTTAAAAATAAAATCTAAAACTTCTAAAAGATAATATAAATTCTAAACATTAATTCAGAACTATACCAATAATGAATGTCTTATAAATGTATTTACTTTCTTAACGATATGAATTAAATGCTCAAATATAGAGTTTCAGATATTTTAGTTAAGAAAATTTTCAGTCTAGATTACATAATCTGGTTGAATTTTAAAATTGATAGTGTTATCTTTTATTATTATTATTTTTCTTGCTCTATATCAATTCAAAATATTTAATTTATTAATATACCAATAATTAATGTCTAATAAATGTATTTATTTTATCGCTTTGAATGAAATTAAGTGATCTCCCAAATTGATAGAGTTTCAGAAATTATAAAAGATTACATCGTTCGGTTGAATTGTAAAACAGATAATATAGTCATAAATTATTAACAACAGGGAGGAATTTTTTCAAATGAAATCAAGTAAATAAAGGTAATAAATCCTTTATTTTAATTTTTTTTCCTGGAGTTATATAAATTCTAAATATTCAATTTATCACTATACCAATAATGGATCTCTCATAATCGAAATGAATTAAATACCCAAATCTGTAGAGTTTCACAAATTATAGTTCAGAATGGTGTGGCTGTGTTTTTTAAGTAAAAAATATAGTCATTAATTATTAAATCCAAGAAGAAGGAATTATTTCAAATTAAATTTTGTAAGTAAAGATAATATAGTTCTTTATTATAATTTTTTCTAGAACAATAGGAATTCTAAATATTTAATTCGTTAATGTATCATTAACGAATGTCTCATAAATGTATTTATTTCATTTTTTTAATGAAAGGGGTTAAATTCTCGAATCTCTAGAGCTTCAGGCATTTAGTTAAGAAATTATTTTTTAAAAAGAAAAAAAAAATTACATGTGCTGGTTGAATTTTTAAAAAAAATTATAGTCAGTAATTTTCAACAAGAAGGAGAAATAATTTCAAATGAAATCATGTAAATAAAGGGAATATAAGCCTTTTTTTTCTAGAGCTATATAAATTATAAATATTTAATTTATTACTATACGAATAATGAATACTCCTAAATTTATTTATTTTATTTTTTTAACAAAATTACATGATCTGGTTGAATTTCAAAATAAAAGAATATTAAGTAATTATTAACAAGAAAGAGGAATTATTTAAAAAAAATCTATAGATTTATTTTATATTCTGAATGAAATTCCCATATCTATAGATTTTCAGACATTTTAGTTATGAAATTTTCATTTTAGATTTCATGTTCTTGTTGAATTTCAAAATAGAAAATATAATAAGTAATTATCAACAACAATAAAAAGGAATTATTAAAAATGAAATCGAGGTGATATATGCATTCCATATTATTATTTATTTTTTCTAGATATATACAAATTCTAAATATTTAATTTATTACTCTACAAATAATGAATGGATCATAAATATATTTATTTTATTTTTTTGAATGAAATAATAAATTCCCAATCTATAAGGTATCAGACATTTTAGTTAAAAAGATTGCAGGCTGGATTTTAAAATAGTAAACCTAGTAAGTAATCATTAACAACAACAAGAAGGAGCAGTTATTGCAAATTAAATCAATTAAATAAAAGGTCATACAAGCCTTTATTATTATTTTTTCTAGGTCTATATAAATTTTAAGTATTTAATTTTTTCCTATATCAGTAATCAATGTGTCAGAAATGTATTTATTTTATTCTTTAATGAAATTATTTGAATTTCCAAATATATACAATTTTATACATTTTAGTTAAGAAATATTTTATTTTAAATTACATGGTCTTGTTGTATTTTCAAATAGGTCATGTATCCTGTACCTCCCAAAAATGCGTTATGTAGAAAGTAATTATTAACAAGAAGCAGAAATCGTTTCAAATATATCAGTTTTTATTTTTATTATTATTTTAAGATATTAGTAGATATTATATTATATTTTAAAGTTATTGGAAATTGATATTCTTTCATTTAAGATAAGACAATCTTAATTGTCCATAAATAAAACAAACGATCAAAAGATAAGAAAAATAGAATGTGTCAGGATAAATAATGAGGAAATAATAACTTACCATTTAAAAATGGTCTGAACGATTTTAGAGTGAATAAAATCATGAAGATAAATCTTTACAATTTTTTTTTGTAAGGATATATATTTTGGAATATTTCTTTACAAAAATACTTACCTTCCCCAAGTTTAAAAATTTGTAATAGTACGTGTTAAGTTGGTACAGTGGCACGTGTGTATTATCGAGCAGGACGAGCCACGTGGACACCTGTTTCGTCATTTTTTTCCGTCACCGTCGACGTCACGAGACTCTAGTCTTTTTCCCTCTCTCTCTCTCTCTCTCTCTTTGCTTCTCTCTCTTCTGGTTTCTTTCAATATAACCCTAAGCATTCTCTCTCTCACTCTCTCACTCTCTCTTTCTCTTTCTTCTTCTTCAATTTCAACGTATGTTTCCTTCTCTCTCTCTCTTCAATCCAAACATGTGTTTCGTTGCATCTGTGTTGTGTGTTGTGTGCATTTTTTAAAATTAAGCACCTTAATTGTGTTTCTCATTCATTGTCCTTAAAAAATTCTTCATTGTGTCAATGCTAGGTTTTGCATTCTCAGCGTGATCATCAGTTTGTAGTGATTTTAATTTGATTTTTCAGAGGTTTGAAGTTGTTGAAAGATGAGTTCTCGGACAGTGAGGAGTTACCGGCGTAGGAAGACGAATTTGGAGTTGGACCTTAACCGTGTCCCTGATGAAGAGAGTCGAGAGGAGGAACAGGAGCCACCTTCCACTCAACTTGTTCCCATGATTGATGTTGACGCCATTGATGATGATGATGTTGTTGAGTCCTCTCCCAGGGCTTTTGCTCTGGTCATTATTATTTATTAATTATTTTTTATTATTATTATTTTAGTTTTTATTACATGTTTGAACTTTGCTGGAGACTGAACTTGTTCGTTTGATTCTGTTTTTTCGTTGTGTTAAGGCCAGAAACAATTCGAGGAGAATTCGCGAGAGGACTGTAGTTGATGTGGAGGATTCAGGTAACAATGATATAACTTTCCTATACTTGTTTCCTTGTTCATAAGCACCATGATGAACTGTTTGTGTGATGAATTTTGATATTCAGATTTTTATTTCCTTTTATTTGTTATTGTTGTTGTGTTGGTTTATTTTTTATTATTTTATTTTATTTTTTCAAATTCTATATGGATGTTGGGGGGGGTAGTTTGATGAGTTTTGAATGATTTCCATTTCGTTACAAAATCCATATAATATTTGGTCTACTATTAGTTGTACACAACTGTCTGTGTTGTCTCCATGGGACCCAGAGGTCTCATTGTTCATGTTCGAATCATGTAATCAGTTCTTGAAAATCCAAAGTAAGGCTGTGAATGGAGAGCTTTATAGCACCACATTACCCTTTATTTGTACTACACTATTTCCTCATTGTGTTGTTCCGGTGACCAAAATTGTTTTGTTTTTTTTGAAAGAAGACTCAGTTAAGTTAGCTTTGTAAGAGTAGATTGCCTCAGGCTAGGTCTTGGTTCATCAAAGAAGTAATTATTTATAATTAGCGGTTTAATCTCAAGGTCAGCTCAAAATTTAAATAACTAGCTTTCTGCCGTTGAAGCAAAACATTTTGTCTTTTGGCTTTGAAGCTCTTGCTGATCTTTTAATTCTTTTTTTGAGTCTTAAGGTGATGGAGATTGTATGTTATGATAGTTTTGATAAAAGGTTCTATAAAATAAATTGTTTTGACAAGAAGTTATGCAATAGTTGAACCTTATAATTTGGTCAATGAAGATTTCTTGATGAATTGAGAACAAAATGAATGGAGATCCTTTTGATGTAGCTTTGAAGTTGACAACTATTGTGGTTCAGTGATAGGATTCAACCCATTAATAGGGTGTACGTAAGAAGGGGTCATAGAGGATCAGCCCATATGCAAGCATGGTTGACCCAAGAAGCTGTTGTAACTGCTTCGTGTGGGAGTGAAAGAATATGATAGGAGAGAGGAGGGAGACGGGTGTGTGAGAAATGTATTGGGTTGAGTAGGGAGAGACCAAAGCCTCTCGAAAGCTCTCAAATACCAGTGTCTCCTTCATTTTCCTTTGTTTTCTTGCATTTTCTTTACCATACAGTTTGTATCTTTCCATACTGATACTGATATCTAATATATGTATCTCTGTCTGTACTCTTGTTCAATTCATACTTGATACCTATCAATTGGTATCAGAGCTCCTGATCAGAGAGCTGTGGATGTTGAGAAGAATGGTAGCTTGTTTTAAGTGGATTACAATATGCTTTTGAGATGTTCCTGTGCCATAGATTCTAGGGACACTGTACCTTAATTTGAAACATTGTCTGCATCGCTTGTTAGATCATGGTGCCTTAACGTCAATCAGTGATATTATTGGTCAGAGGTGATGTTTCCAACCTATATAGACGTCTAACGTATTAGTAGTATAAACAAGAGGAGGTAAGAAAAAGGAAGCCATATTCATGGCCCTCAACTGGGGATGTAGTACATTAGGAAATATAACAGAATAATTTAAAATTCTAGTTATGGGATTTAATTTTGATCCACTGTCAATACAAAGAGTTTCCCACTCTAGTGGACTATATAATACAACTTGTTTGAAAAACCTTTATGAAGTTTTTACCACAACTGAAAATCCATATTTAAGGGAAGAAATGCAAACTAGAGGATCAGCAAATGAGGAAACAAATTGAAATTCATGAACAGAGATAGAAATTTTATATTTAATTAGTAAAGGAATTAATCCATGTCATTAGATTTTTGACTCTTTTATTATCCATTATTTGATAACAAAATATTTGAACTTGAAATTATAGAAGCAAAAGTCATGCGTGCGAACTGCCCTTACACATTTTTAATTTTTTCCCCATTTGGATATGAGTTGATTGGCTCCCCGTATTGTTTTTGATATTATGGAAAATGTTCCCTTCCCAAATTCTTTTACAGATGGTGAATTTGAATACTTCTTACTTGTTTACTAAAGTAGTCTATTCCTGTTGTGGTCTTTAGTGTTATTGTGGTGGTTTAACATATCTGTCATTCATGATTATTGCAGAAGATCGGGCTAGGGTTGGTCGCAAGCATGACAGATGCAGAGAACCACTCAAAATGCCAACATTTTTTCATTGTGGTCCTCGTGGGAATTTGGAAGGCAGTAGCAGTTCTGTGGTAATAAAATCTCTCTACTTATTTTTTTTAATGTTCTGTGGTTCTTTTTGCTTTGTTTTGCTATATTATGAATTATATTTCAGATGTGTAATATGTTAATGATGTGTAGTTGAAAATGGTGCGGGGGATGAGTTGACATACAAGAAAGATAAGATCAGGAGTGAATGTAAGAAAGAAAGTAGGAGTAGCATCTACGTAGGAAAGGATGATAAAATCTTGTGTAAAATGTGAGGAAAAGAACATTGAAGCTCCTGCACAAAAGAGTTGATCTTATAGAATATAGCTAGAAAAAGGAGGTAGAGGGTGGGAGATCAAAGAAAAGAGAAACCCTTAAGAAAGACCTTGGTCTAACTGGCCTTTCCAAAATTTTAATTTTTAACAAAATACAATGGCATTGTTTGATCCATGTAGCTTGATGTAACGCATTCATGTTTTGCTGTGTTTTGTAGTAGTTTTAATGTGTAAACATTTATTATTTCCTGTTTATCATTTGTTTCAAGCCTTGATGTTTAGGCGTCTACGAGTTCAACTTGTTTTTTTTAATTCTTTATTTTTGGGATCTAGGAGATATACAGTATAACCTACTTGAAATGACTGTGTTAGGATATCTTGTTGAGATTGCTATGTCTTGTCACATAGTTGTATCTTGTACATGATTTGTCTGCAAGCAAGTAATGCCCTTTTCATAATTTTTTTTTGGGGCTCCTAAGGAGCTAAACAATGCTAGATGGGTAACGGGGGAATTTAACCCATGCCCCTTTCATTTGGTGGTAACTGGGGACATAATCTTATATTCTTGAGTTAAGCAAAGCTGCAGTGGCATACTATTATTTACGTACCATACAGATAAAAGATTTATGGTTGGCTGGTTTATTGAAAAGTTTTTTAATTGCATGTACTGCAACTAATGCAAATTATGCAGCTTGAGGTTAAATGTTGGTTGTACAGTAGTTCGTTAATTTCAATTTTCAACATGGATGGTTTTTTTTTTTTTTTTGAGAAAATGTGATTGGATGTTATCCATCCTCTTAATCGTTTGTAGGAAACTTGAGTTCAAGATATGCTACTGCTTTTCACAATGCCCTTATTCTCATGTCTTTGTTTTATTTTCATCCTCTTTTCTGCTGTAGTACTTGAAACTTGAATTTTTTGAAGGAATTTACCATTTTTGGCTTTGTCCTAGTATATATATTCCTAGCCTATATTAAAATGTAAATTTTATTAGTCATCGATGTTTACCAAGGTTTGCTGGTGTTCAAATTGCTGATTTGAATATTCCTTTTGCAGAAGATAAATGCTAGAAAGTCACCTGAACCACCTCCACCTGCGAAGGAGCCAGTCTTTAACTGTCCAATATGTATGGGTCCTTTGAAAGAAGAAATGTCAACAAGGTGTGGTCATATTTTTTGCAAGCATTGCATTAAAGCTGCAATAGCTTCACAGGGTAAATGCCCTACCTGTAGAAAAAAGGTTACTGTAAGAGAGCTGATAAGGGTCTTTCTTCCATCAGCTAGTTGAAGGTATGGCCAAAATAACTGGTTATTTAATAAGTTGGAGGAAGTGCTTTCATGTTATTTGACTTTGTAGATTTAATTAGTTCTAGAAATGTATGCCATTGCTTTCCAGTGAACTTTTGGCCGACTGGTTGTTTTTTTTTTATTTGGTGTGTGTGCAATTTGAGTAAACATGATTTAGCATTTTCTATTTTAATACCAGAAAAATGAACTCGCATACTTGTGGGAAGAAAATGAGATATTAGAGTTTCAAAAGAAATGGTGTTGGAGACACTAATGGGGTAAAATAAGGGAAGTTGATCAAGGAGAAGGGGTGTAACGAATTATCCGAAATATATGTTTTAATTTCATATTCGCGTTAATATCATTTAATTAATTTTTTTTTATTTGGCTAGTGTTGTTTGGATAGACGAGGAACTGTTGGGACAAAAGGCAATCATGGAAACTACCTATTGTTCTATTAATATGTATAGGAATTTAAATAGAATACAGGGCATGTAAAATATTCAGATGCTGTTAGGTAGGGTACATAGGAAGTGAAAGATAAAAGGTGGTAAAATAAATCACGGCCTAATCAGTGGTAGATACTTGATACAAAAAATTCTTGTGATCATATATTACTTGGATGAGCTAAACAAAAAGTGGCTTTGGATGTGTGTTTAGATTATTTTATTTTGTGTTCAAAAAGTAATATAAACCATACATGATACATCCCCTTGATTTATCGAATGTCATCTCCCCTTTCATAATTAGCTCAGGTTTACTTTTTTCTTTTTTATACTTTGATTATATCTTTTCTCCTCACGTTTTTCGTTTTTTCATTATTAATTTGGTTGAGGTTCATTTGTTCTTTACTCATTTTAATTTCATTTTATTTTTCAAATTAATATGCATGCTTCTGTTAGGGTTAGGCAATACGTGCTTAATATTGTTTCATTGGAAGGCCACATGAAAAGAAAGAAAATAGTTTCATTATTCTATCCTCACGAGTAGTTGCTCTTTTGCCATATAACAGGATCTGCATCCAAGCTTTATTGAGGAGAAGTGGGAATGGAAGAAACTTCATTGTCCTTTGAAGATTGCTGAGTGGCTGTGTTGTTTCTAACATGTTCCTCATAGCAGATGCTTATTTGTTTTTAAGTAGCTGTTTCTCCTCATTCTTCATATCAATACAGGGAGATGCTAGGTAGATACTATTTGTGTCTCCGTTTTTTTAAACAATTTTCATAACTCTCAGTCTTTCGTTTTTTCTTATTGGTGAAAAGATGGGATCAGAGAGGCCGGTTAATATGACCCCCCCATCTTGACATAGGGGATTTATTTATATAAGTTTATTGATTAGGCTCCTTGACTTTGTTTTTAATGGAGCCGGTTGCCAGTATAATTAGTTATATACTTTTTTTTTTAAGTGTTTTGCAGTACCGGTTCAGCATGATTAATTTGGTTTTAGATGGTAGTACTTTGCTTGTTTAATGCTGCTTTTTCTTCAACTGGTTGCAATTATTTGTTGACTATCTTTTTCTTGACAAAAAGAAAGGGCTAGAGTTCCGTTTTGATGGATTTCTTTAAGATTTAGGACAGAAAATGTGGCCTTTTGAGTGTCATGATAGGGAGCCCCTACCTGATTCAGTACATTTTTCATATATCAAATATATGTTTTAAAAACCAAAACTGTTACAACGATAGAGTTACCTGGCAACATCCCTGCTCTTGTCACCCGGGCTATCAAACATTTCTTTTATTCAAGATTCAATTGAAGGAAATTTTGTGCCTAGGTACATTACAAAATCATGTTTAACCCGTTAGAAACGTGTATATAATTAAAATTAAGTTAGCAAAATTAGGTTTAACCCGTTAGAAACATGTTTTAAAATTAGGTTTGTTACCAAAAATAAAATAAAATAGGTTAGCATATGTTCAGATTTATTTTACGTATTTTGGTAGTCAATCCGTCTGATTTAGTTTTTGTAATTAGGCCTCCTTATTGTCTCCTCGTCTTTTTTGTTTTAACTTCGACTTTACATGCATCCCTTGATGATTAGATTTTGTTCTACTTTTTTAATAAATTATTCTTTTACACATTATTTTTTCAATATCATTTTAATACTACTTTCTTTTTATATAATAAAACAAGAGAAGTATAATTTTTAATATACGTTTTCTTTTATTCTTTTTTTCATAAACTAAGTATAGATTAAAGGTGTCAAAAAAATTGATGTATAAAAATCCTGTTCTCATGTGTCTCTCTCTATGTATATAGTCGGAAAACCTATTGACCAATCGGGTTAATTGGTATCCAATTTGTATGAATTTTATTATACGTTTTAGTATTTTCTTTTCTTTTATCTCAACATAATATTTAGAGTCTAACCAGTCTCTAAAAATTATAAACACCTAGAGAATCGATTCTCCCATGAGGTCAATTGAGAGGATTTAGTACTAATTTTTTTTTTTTTTCCTTTTCCCTTTTATAAAGTATTATTCCATCACCTTCTATTTGTATTTGCTACTTTGCTTTGCCATCACTACACTAGTATTTTCCCTCCACCGCAGCTGTTTCGTCCCTCTTGAGATTGTGTTTTTGCGTTGAGTCCTGGTCAAACGGAACTATCAAAGGAAAAGATTTTTCATCGATGGCACCATACCATTCCACTGCTGGCTGATACACTCTATTCTACAAGTTCATTTCATGTTTAACACCTTCTTTGTCCCTTCTAATTGCATAACTCATTGTGTTGCTTGACAAAGTCTCTGATTTAAAGGGGTTGTTTGCCAACGTCAAACCTCATATCATGCTTTTGAATACGTTGTCACAAAAGTCATACTTAGTCACGAACAGTGACCATTTTACCACGCCTGGCAAAAAAATTTACTAGACTGCCACGTCAACAGTAAATTTTGCCAAAATATCACGCGACATATTTTGCTACACTATGTAGCGACATATTTTGCTACACTATGTAGCGAAATATGTTTGCATATAATTCGCTACATAGTATAGCGAAATATGCCATGTCAGGCTGCACAGTCAGAAAAAATGACACGTGCATAATTCGCTACTAGCGTAGCGATTTTCTGCCTGCTTGACACGTGTCATTTTTTCTGACTGTGCAGCCTGACATGGCATATTTCGCTACACTGTGTAGCGAATTATATGCAAACATATTTCGCTATACAGTGTAGCGAAATATGCCGCATGACATTTTGGCAAAATTTACTGTTGGCGTGGCAGTCTGGTAAATTTTTTTGTCAAGGCGGGACAAAATGGTCACTCTCCCTACTTAGTCACGTGTTCTTGCTCCCTCCAAATGATTGTCTTACACAGGACACGATCACCTTAGTACTTAATTATTGGTTCAACCACAAAGCTTTACCCTCACATATGTGTCTTCTATGCTTTGATTATTCGTGCCTTTATGATGGAATATGGAAGGCTTTTTGACCCTTTTGCCCCTCATTAATTAATTAATAACCAATTTTCTCCTCCCCTAGAACTATCCACCACCTTGCCTCATTTAGTCGATCAAGTTGCATTTTTAATCGACTAAATGGGCAAAATTCAGAAATCAATAAACATGAATTTTAGTCGACTAAATATTCACCTTGATCGACTACATGTCGAGCACATTTAGTCGACTAAGGCCATTATTTAGTCGACTAAATATCGCGGACCAGGTTTTTTAAAATCCCCCATTTCGCAATGGGGGTTATTTTCAAATCCTAGTCGACTAATTTCGCTCCAAGAACTCCTCTCCTCAACCAAGTTCGAATCTCATCCCTTGAAGGTACGATTGAAGCATCATTGGTTCACAACTTGCGAAATTGACATTGTAGGTAACGTTTTCTGACTTGCATTTGGTTTTAGGTTTAGGTTTTTTTTGTTTTCTCCATGCTTTGGTTTCTGTTTTTTAAATTTCTTGTTTATGGTAGAAGGTTGTTTGCGGTTTTGTGGCTTTAGGTTAGGGGTAGGGTGTTGAGTTTGATGTGAGGGTAATTGACTAGGGTTGATGTGGTAGCTTAGGGTTAGGGTTAGGGTTAGGGTTAGGGTTAGGGGAGGGCTGCTGTTTTGGTTGGGGTGTAGGTTAAGGGTTTCTGTTTTTATGTTAGGTATAGGATTGGTTTTCCTGTGATGGGTTAGGGTTAGGGTTAGGGTTAGGGCTGCTGTTTTGGTTGGGGTGTAGGGTTAGGGTTCCTGTTTTTATGTTAGGATATAAGATTGGTTTTCCTGTGATGGGTTAGGGTTTAGGGATAGGGTTAGGGTTAGGGTTGTTGTTGTAGGTTGGGTTTAGGGGTAGGGTTCATGTTTTTATGTTAGGGTTAGGGTTAGGGTTGAGGGTTTGTGTTTGGGTTGCTTTTTTTGATTGGGTTTAGGGTTTGTTTTATGTTTTATTTTAGGGTTAGGGTTAAGGTTGCTGTTTTATTTTAGTTTTTTATATTGAATTTTAAATTTTTTTGATATTGTTATTGTCCATTGATATTGTTTCCACTTGCATTGTAGGTACCGTTGTTCCCATGGCTGAGCGTAGAAGATCGGATAACGTGGGAAATGAGAGACGTAAGAAGGTACGACAAGACCGTCCGTCTTCGTCAAGGCCACAAGATGAAGAGCCCGCTCCTGTCGACCTCCCATTCGGATACTTGTTCGAGCATGACCCTGTGGTTCATGATTCATTTGTCAGTGACTTTGCTAACCGACCCATATGTGGGGCCAAATCACTTGATACAACATTTTTTGAAGCAGAAGGTTTTAACATTGTGAGGTGGTTGGAAGGAGCACATCTTAGGGTTTTGGCTGAGCTGTCGTGTTCATATTCAGAGCTGCATGTACGGTCCTTCTACCATAACCTCAGCTACGTACAGGGTGAGCTGAGGTCGAGGGTCTGCGGGGTGGAGATCATCATGACGGCTTCGGTATGGTTGGAGTTACTGGGGTATGACTTTGATTCTGCGGACACTGTGGAATATGACGCAGATAGCGGCTCCACACTTCCAGGATATACACGAGGTGATGCCGTGAAGGAGCAGAGAAGAGTCTGTGGGCAACATATTGCCTATACAGTGGGGTTGCTTACTGTGGAGTCCCGTATACTACACTATGTCATCACCCACATTCTGTTTCTGAGAGCGTTCAACCATTCCAGGGTGTTGGAACATGACATTCCCATCATGTGGGCTATCCGACATGGTACTTTGGTGAACTGGAGGCACTACATCTGTTGGATGATGTATAAGGCCAAACACAAGGGTGCACTTCCATTTGCTTGTCTTGTTTAGAGGATATTGGAGCACTTTGGTGTTCCCATGGGCAATGTGACCTTGAAGAAGACCACAGGGTATAATCATAAGTTTGGAAAGCGTCTACTGGAGCAGTGCAAGATGCTACATCTACGTTTATTGTGACCAATTTTCTTGCAGGTGTTACATCTACTTTGACAGCTTGTGGGTTGGGACTCAACCCAATCCATCTCATTCTGTATCCTTGTAGACTTCGGTCTCCCTTGTGCACGAACCAAAGATGCATTTGGGATAATAGTTGGACCATATATTTCTGGAATCAACAACTCATTACCCATTGGAAACCAATGTGTAGCATAGACCTTCTCAATTTGTGTAATTGAGAACACGGGATCGACATAGTCATAGTGGTTCAATTTTTCAACCTTGCACACCGCTAGCACATGACTAAAAGGGAATCGTCTAGCTGTGAACCGTCCACATTGACATTTACGATTTAGCAAGTCAACCCTCATAATGTCGCCGACATCATGCGTAGATTGATTGTAGGCATCCTCAACTTCAAACAACTGCAAGTCTCTATCAAAAACACGGACACGGAGACTGACAGTTAACTGATCATTCTTTTGTAAGAAGTCCTCAACCTTTTTTGCAATTCTCCATCCTTTGGTTTTGCTTTTTGGTTCTTTTCACGCCTCTTGACAAAATACTCTACAAGTCTACTTTGCATCATCTTGACCAATGCCGTTACTGGCAAATTACGTGCACCCCGTAGGACCTTATTGATACACTCAGATAGGTTAGTCGTCATATGACCAAACCTTCGGCATCCTCATCATAAGACCTGCACCGTTTCTCTTTGGGAATCTGATCTATCCATGAGGCTACTTGTGGATTACTGTCGACAAATTCTTGAAATCTTAAATCAAAGTGAATCTTCGAACACATGTATCCTGCAAAAAATGAACCCAAATTGAATGAGTTATACATAAACAGCATTACATACAACATGTACACATTCATGAAAATAGCTTACCTAGTTTCATCAGCGTTTTCTTCAGTTCCACGTCCCTAAACTTAGTGTTAAAGTTGCTTCCAATGTGACGAAGACAAAACACGTGATACGTATATGGAGGCTGCCAACCTGTGTGATCCTTCACAGCCCTGATGATGCTGGGGTGACGATCGGATATTAGACATATACCATGACTTTGT